ACATATCTATTGATGATAGCATCTTTGTTCCAGTTCATAATAACTGTACACTCTTGTTATCCATTAACAATGAATAGTCGTTAATTAGTAGCTTTTTTTAAATTTCAATTTTAGCTTTTATGTGTTGTATGTACTTATAGACTAAATTTATGTGGTTCACTAATTTAAATTTTGTTTGTGATAAAAAGAAATTGTTTTTGTTTTGTACATATGTAACATGGATTTTATTATTACTTTTTTGCATGATTTTTGGAAAAATATTTAGACATTTTTCATTTTACACAATTCTTTTAAATTTGACGAACGTAGCCTCAAAATTATCATATGTCGCATGTATTTTTTACACGATTTTCTAATGAATGCATCTGTTACCGTTAAAGTGTATAATTCAGTTATTTTATAGAATAACTAGATATTTCCTGAAATAACTATTATAACTAGTTAAAGTATATAATAGATGACAAATTTCATACTTTACCCGGATATTTTATGAAATAACTAAGGATAGACCATTAAAAAGCGAAAAATAAACAATTTCAAAGATATTTTATAAATTAATTGATCAAAAGTAGCTAAAATCTCCTGAAAAATACATTTTATCTCTTTCACGGATGAATAACTGATAAATAATAAAGGAAAGCAGATGATAAAATTTATTTATTACTGATATTGCTAACATTAATTAAACAGAAAGGGGAGGAAATATGTTGCAAAAATAGATTATATTTAAATATTATCAACAAAAATACGTGTTGGGAAGAAAAACTGTTGCTTTATAAAAAAACATTGTGTACATTTTTAATACAAAATTGTAAGCTGATATTAGTATAAATTTTATGAGATGCCTTTATTTTACTTTTCATTATTTATTAGAGCAAGGACTGCTGTGATGACACTTTGGATTGGAATGCTTATCATTTTTGAAACAAGCCCACTTTTTACAATTACACTTTTTTTTACACGATCACTTTTTAAATCCTTGTCCGTTACCGCAACTTTGAGCTGTTCGAAGTGTTGTGTCAATATTTTGGAACTTATTCAGTGAAAATTAATTCGCGCTGATATATACTGAACTGATATCTAGAGTACAATTGTTTTATTCAGCCATCTTTAGTTCCTAATCGGAAACATTCTTCTTAAAGCAGCTAGAACCTTTTCGAAGAGCTTTCGAGTGCCGCGTATTTCATACTTTAACGATCAAGTAATCGTTATTCTATAGAATACCTAGTTAAAGAGTAGAATTTAATAATTTTATATGGTGTTAACTGACTTGTCTAGTTATTTCATGAAATACCTAGTTATTCTATGAAATAACGGATTTCACACTTTAAGGGTAACATATCGACCATGTAGAAAAAGAGAGTCCCGGGTATATATAAATTTCCTTTCCCAGTATCATAGTTAGTTTATGCGTCTTTCGTTTTGACTCTCATTCACTTTGATTTATGTTCTTCAATTTATCTTGGCAAAAGTAAAAAAGGCTTTACATAAAACATGTGCAAGTATTTAACCAAGCATTAAACTATACTCTAAGGATCTGAAGTAGTTATTTTACAGAAATAAATAATACCTTTTTAGCACATTTATCTTTTGATGTAGAAAAGATTGACTCTTTCTAGATTCCTTCATAACCACTTTAGCAATTAATATTCTTTACTATTTACAGATGCTCCGGGTATTCCCCAGATTGAGGGCTACATCGAAGGTGACGTCGTGACGTCCGGCGACATGTTGACGCTGGCATGCATCACACGTGGTGGCAATCCCCCGCCCCAACTCATCTGGAAGAGAGGAAATGTGCAGGTGGACGCCTCGTACACGGTCCGAGGACATGTCACCACCAACGTCCATACCTTCCGAGTGGATGCCACCGACAACAACGGCATCTATCGGTGTGAGGCTTCCAGCAATGAGATTGAAGAGCCCATACAAGCATCCGTTAAACTCAGTGTACATTGTAAGTCCTCCTTCTTACGTCAAACTACATTCTTCTATTTTCTTTGAACATGATTCAAATACGAGACGTTTATTACAAGACAAGTTTACTGTAGTGGATTTTTTTAAAGAATTTCGACACTGCTGTTTTTAAAAAAATGCAACACCATGAAAGAGTCATCAGAATAAAATGAACTTTGCAGCAAATATCAATTATAGGATGTTACGTAAAATAGTAAGATTTCAGAGCCAAGGCGCATGCGTGGCGTGCGCAGCACCCTCTGAACTGATGATGAAAGCGTATAAATAGAAGGCTGTAGCGGGACGTTGAAAATAGTTAAGGGTTATTTGTTAGTGGCGAACGTTTAGTGAGACCTAAGTGTGCCTCCACAACGAAACAAGGAGAAATTCCAACAACTTTGAACGGGAGAGGATAATCGGCCTTCGAGAAGCTGGATTTTTCTATCGCGCCATAGGAGCTAGTGCGCAGCCTCAACCGATTTTCAGTAGCATTAACACTGGGAAAACTGTGCGGCTTAGATTCGAGGAAATAACGGTAAACAACCACATGTTTTTTAATTTGTGAATTAATGATTGATGGGGTAGAAATGATAAGTATGCTTCTGTTTTTATTTACTAAAAATAAAGTATATGGAAGTGATACATACACTGGAATAAATTTCTATACAATAACTTTTAATTTATTTTCGCATTTGCTTAATATTTTATTTTCTGGTATTAGACGGACATATATTCTAAAAGATTTGTGATATCTGCATGTTTAATATAAGTTTATAATTAAATTGATGATGTGACCTTGTCGTAGTCTATCACTACCCCTATGATTATTAACTCCCCTTCGCGTATTATCTAAATCTGAATATGTTGGATCCATAATTAATTACAACTAAATTAATAAATCAATCTTATTTATTGACTTTTCTTAATAGAAAAATACACAAATATTATTCAAACTATAAGATCAACAAATTACAGTGGAGTGCGAGAAGAATCTGATTATGGACGACGGAATACTAACTGAAACCACGGAGAATAACGCATACAATCAAACTACGCATTTATATCTAATTTATGAAAATAACTGACCTGATACCCTTTTCTTAAGGTAGGTTTCTCTAATTCTGGATTGCTTTAAGGAGCGGCTTCAATCTTAGCTATTTTTCAGTTCCGTCCCGAACCGAATTAATGAACACTTTTCAATAGTCTTCTCCCGACGAATACATTTCCACTAGATAAACTAATCTCTCAAAATCACCCTCTTAATCAACCTCTTTCTCTTCATTTCATTTCTCCCTTTTATATCTTTTTCGAACTCGCTAAACCCGCAATTATCTCGTTTGCATAAGTCACACTTTTGGCTCTCGGAAGATTGGTTGATATAAATAAAATATTTAAAGACTCGAGAGAAGGTTAGTGAAACGCGTAAGCACCCGTCACAACCTGCATTTAACAAGGAATACATTGGATTTATCAGGAGGGAAGTCGCCGGTGCAAATCTTCCCATAAACCAACAGCTTTTTAATTTCTTCCATAGTTGTAAAAATTAATTCGGCGCTTTCGTCTGAAGGCTTTTCAGAACGAGCTCTTCCCCATTGCTCGTCACTGAGTTTTATTTTATACGTATATTAAAGCAATCTTACATTTATTATAAAGATGACAGTCAAATATTTAATTTGATAGATTGCAGTGTGATATATACTAAAATCCATTATAAAGTAATCAAAGGAAGAAACAAGTAGATTATGGGGGATATATGCCTATTTACTTTTACGCTTACATACATATATAGACCATCTCAAGCAAAACTTTAGATTCACGTCATTCGAATTTTTAGTTATTGTTAAGCATAGAATAATATTTGAGCCAAGTAGATCTCTAAATTGTCATCGTAAACTCACTTTTCGTTTTAAACCGCAACATGTCTCAACTAATCTGCTAAAAAGATGTCAACTTTCAGGATTACAGATGACACAGTTGTCAGCCGTAATACGGTATCACTAGTGATATTCGCTGTTTTTCGTCTTACAACTGAAGGTAAATCAATTCAACTATATTTAGGTCTGAAACATAAGTGTGGTATAAGGATTTCTAGACAGCAAAAAGGACGAGAACTATCAACAGTTGGTGAAATAACTCCTACAAAATTTTCATGACCCAGGATGCAATATGTCTCTAAGCACCCATTTTTTGCATTCCCATCTTTATTTTTTCTCTAAAAACTGTGGAATGTAAGCGATGTGAATACGGTGAAAGGTTTCAACAAGATATCACAGCAATGGAACGTATATAACAGGGTTGTCGAGATGAATCAATGCTCGCAAGCTACTGCTGGACAGGGATTACTTCGGATACTCGGGGTTCGATATACAAAAGGCAATTTTTAAAAAGAAGTATTCACAGGAAATAATATACTACTGATTTCTGATTATAAACAAGGTTTCTAGAAATATAACTTATTGTTCTGTATATATTAGTTAGTAAAGTTTTGTTCTTCAAATTTACCAATAAATTGATGGATTGACTGTGGTATATCTTAAATGAAGAGAGCTAATAAATAAATTTAATTTCCATATTCGTTTTTTTAACCCAAAACTAGTAAGAATAGGCTATTTAAAACTGGGAAACCGACAAAAAGTTGTTTTTTGTAGCCTAGTGTATTCTATGGCCCTCCTCATGCTGAAATGAACTCGTCTGTGTAGGAGAAACTGAACTTTTCATCGTAGTCAATAGATAACTTACGATAAGGAAAACAAATGGTTTTCTTTGATTTTTTCCAATCCCTACAGTTAATTCATACTCTCCTTTATGTATTTATTTATATATATTCTCTTGTTAACACATAAATTTTCATCTGTTAATAAAATACTTTTTATTCATTCATTCAAGTTCAAATACATGTTTTAAACTTGTAGTGGATGACACTTGATGTTAATATAGTTTTTTTACAAACATTAACTCATTAATTAAAGTTAATAAATGAATAAATAGTAACAAGGAAAAATAATACTGTAATGCCCTATGTAAAAAGGAAAATCGCTTGTTGTGTCTTTGTAGAACAATGGGTAGCTCGTAGGACTTCTAATCCAATGGTCGTGGGTTCGAATCCTACCTGGGATAGCGTAATTTCTGAGAATGCGATTTATATGAATGAATAAATAAATAGAAACACACAAACAAAAATAATACTCCAGCACAGTGGCGCACACAAGGGGGTGTCCTGGTGGTCCCCCCAAAGCCCTTGATTTTTTTGATTGATGATAATCTTATATATATATAACATAAAATTTAATTAAGTACTGTAATTAAGAATTTATTTTATTAATTAATGCTAATTATTAAATAATTTATTTTTTACTGTTCTTCGTTAACAAAATCAGAAGAGTCAATTGGTGTTGTCTTGAGGTATGATACGAGTTGGGGGACTTTCAACCATGGACTACCCCTTCCTTGAAAAACTTTTGTGTTCGCTACTAGTCCAGCACCATATTTAGAATGGAAAATCGCTTTCTAATTTGCCACTTAATATTGTGATTCTATCTTATGTATATACATATTTATATTAATTGTAATTATTTAGAGTAAAAAGTAATTGAAATATAAAATTTTTCTTTGTTTACTGAAGAAGGAATTGACTTTAAAAAAGACTTTTATACATTACTTGTTTATCAGAAAATTGTTTAAACAATAGGTTACATTTTTCTTTTACAATTTTGACCTTTTTGGAATGAATACGTCCTTTTGACCCCATGGCAAATTTTAATGAGTAAAAGCTGTATTTGTTTTCACAAGTATAAGAAGATTAATGCTTATTTTCCTTGAATTGGAAGAAAAGCGTATTCCCATGCAATACATTCTTGCAGAAATAAAAGTTATTAAAAGTTTGTGATAGTCGGGGAAAAAATACCTTCAGAAAATACACAGATTTCTTAATAATTGCAATTGTGAAGTGAAAATCTTCATTAATTCCTTAATTTGTAAATTTTATATTTTATAAGAAACTTCAAGTGGTATTTTTATATAAATACTTGCTTGGCAAAATCCATTTAAAACATTAGAAATATTTTTTTTTATCCTACGTCTAAGTTCTGCCATTAGTTGAAGAACAGCCCAATAATGTGATGATGAGGAAAAAGGAATCAGTGAAATTGTCGAATCGGCCACTGGTCCGCCAAATTATGAA